AAAAATGGGTTGTATACAACAACGTCAAACGCAAGAGGTCATGGAGCAAAAAAGATGAACCGGCTCAAACCAATTCCAAAACCGATATTCACCAAAAAAAAGGTGATGCTGTCTGTTTGGTGGGATTTTAAAGGAATCGTTTTTTTTTTGAGCTTTTACCGGATAACACAACCATTAATTCGGAAGTCTACTGTCATCAGCTGGACAAACTGAATGATGCACTTCAACAGAGAAGGTCAGAACTAATCAACAGGAAAGGTGTAGTGTTTCNAGAGAAAGCAAATACCTTTCATTTACGTCATTCTTATGTTTGTATGAAAATAAATAAAAGTAAAATAAAAATACTGCTATGCATGGAAAGAAAAAATAGAAGAATTGGGTATTTTGATTTTGGGTATCTAGGAAGTCAGATAACTAAGAGTGGAAGGGGAAGAAAAGATATAAAACGCCTTCAACAAAAAGAAGTCACTTCAGTGCTTGCGGACGGTTTATTTAGAAATTCGAAAAAGATTGTTAAATGTGTTCGTTTGAAGCGCGGCTCTGTACTAGTGAGAAACATGAAAAGAGATTAGAAGCGTTCGAAATGGGATGTTACAGGCGCATGATGAGGATACCGTGGATAGAGAAGGTTAATAATGAAGAGGTATTAGAAAGAATAGGAGAACAGAGGACTCTATGGAAGTCAATAAAAATGTGGCGAGATAGGTTGGTAGAACACCTTCCCAAGCATGAAGGGCTAGTCAAAGACATAGAGGCGGAAGCAGGATAGAAGACAATATTAATTTGAAATCATTTTTTTCCTATTTTTATTTATCCACTACAAACTACCTCAAATTAATGAGGGAAAAATTGTTGCTGTTGTCACACCCGCACCGGGAATCGAACCCGGGACTTTTGGCTTTACGCACCAACATTCTACCACTAAACTACGAGAGGTGACATCAGCAACCACGACCAACCCACCTACAAGGTTAACGATCCCTCGATTTTTATTACCTTAATTACATATATTAATGAGGGAAAAATTGTTGCTGTTGTCACACCCTCGCCGGGAATCGAACCCGGGACCTTTGGCTTTACGCACCAATACTCTGACCACTAGGCTACAAGAGGTGACAACAGCAACAACGACAAACCGTACTTATTTGGTCACAGATCTGTCGAACTAATGCAACTATATTTACACTATAATTATGAAACACTTTGACATTTAATAGGGGTTAATATCAAATATTAATGTGAAAATTCATTTTAATTTTAGGAGAAATGAAGACGACGACGATAATTTCGTAGTAGAATGAAACATCTGAAAGAAATATAAATCCCAATAGACCACGGTTTGTGAAACCGGAAAATTTTGATCATATAACCTAAATAGTCACAACGCAAAGGAACCACAGGTGTAATACAATAGAGCAGGCAACTTACTACGTTTGTGTTGTGTTTTCTTATAATCCTAAGCATATCCATAAAAAATGGTGGTAGCACTACAAAAATTTATCATTTTGCAAAACCAACTACAGAAATGGCACGCATCCTCCTAATTTCATTGAAAAATTAAATTGAAGTCAAATTTTTAAAAATAGCCACAGGTTTCACTACTGCGTGCTTATTTGACTGTGCTCTGTCAGTGACCCTACGTAAACGGTCGCACATTTGGCCTTCCAGACTATTGCAATATGAAACGTTGTCAATATATATTTCGTTTACTTTCTGTAGCGATGTGACCCTCAGTTTGACCGGCGTAAAGTAGAAAGGAACAGCACTAGGCCAGAAAAGGAAGGAGACAACTCTCGGCCAAACTCTTAACCGGTGAGGAGCGTATAATCCTTACAGTACTGCACGGAAAAATTGACCATTTTATCCACTACAATTGCATTGCTCAAATGTGCTGTTATTGGTACCATTTACTACTGAAAATATCAACGAGATGTTTATTTATATTT